CTTCCCCGACTGCAGCTCCGTCTTGGGCGTGGTGGGGGGCGTCGGGGGGCTGTGGCTCTGACCTGCAACAGGGAGAGGGCCGGAGGTGAGAGACTGGGGGAGACAGGGGGGCGCAGCCGCGTGGACGAACACACAGGGGGACCCACAGGGGTCCCGCAGTCTGGTACCAGCACGGCACCCCTTTACCCCTCCGCGAGCGGACAATCGGCCCTCCTGCTGCAGCCCTGATTCTGGGGGTTCACCACCCAGCCGGGGCCACTGCTCTGGCGCGGTGGAATAAAGGGGGGTGAATCACCCCTTGGGCTCGGGTGCCGTAGGAGAGCAGCCTCGGTCTGCGCTCACCTGCGGCGTGTGGGTGGTGCCCGTCAGAGAGCGGGGAGCCCGCCCCCGCGGAGTGGGCGTGGTCGAGGTGCATGCTCTTGTAGTGCGATTGGCTGTGGTTGACCTCGCCCTCGGAGTGGGCGTCGCCCTCGGCGCCGGGCCCCGCCTTGCCGTTCTTGCGTCTGCGGGGCTGGTACTTGTACTCGGGGTAGTCCTTCTTGTGCTGCTTGCGCAGGCGCTCGGCCTCCTCGATGAAGGGGCGCTTATCGCTCTCGTTCAGCAGCCTGGCGGCGGGGGGGGGGGAGGAGGACAGACAGGAGATCACCGTCAAAACACCGGAGCGCCAGCTGCCTGGCAGGAGGCACTGCTGTACACAGAGGGTGGTGGGAGTGGGGAGCAAGCTGCCCAGCCATGGTGTTGAAGCCCCTACCCTGGATTCATTCAACACAACCGGATGAGACCCCTCCCCCCACCGCGTGGACAGGAGGCACTGCTGTACACAGAGGGTGGTGGGAGTGGGGAGCAAGCTCCTGATCCTCCTGAAACTGTGCTCCAGCCGATGTCTTATCATGTAGAAAACTAAAAACAGGCTGTGCCCTTCAACACTCCAGGATCAAACCAGGTAAAATACATCAATGAACAGAGACGACTCTACAAACTGAGAGGCTTGACTTCTTTCTGACAGAAAGAGGCCTTATCCAGTGCCCAACTCCACCACACCCGAGCGCCCGTCTGACCAGACCACCGTGCCTGCGACAGGGTGGGCGTTTTGAAAGAAAAAACCCAAGACAAGTCCCGTCTGGACCGAGGAAAGCCGGCGAGTCACCGCCCGGGCGGGAGACGCGAAACAGAAGAGACCAGGCCCCGGTCCCTGCCCCGGCCGTGTCCCGGGACAGCCTCGGGTGTCTCCGCGCACACCTGCGCCGCACTGAGGGGAGGCTGCTGGAATACCCGGAGCGGTTCCTTTATTAGATTTAGGGGCCGAATATTTCCCGCTCGCTCTCGGAGAAGCACAGGAGACACTGGCCAGGGGCGGACACGCCCCCGCGGAGCTGACGGTCTGGGCGCTGGCCTGACCAGAATTCCTGGGACATGTGATTCTTTTTAGCGTTCTCGCCGGGTCCTGTCTTCAAAGGGGGGGGGGGGCTGGTAAACAGAGACACCAGGGCCAGAATATAGCCCCCAGTGTGAATTCCTCTCCCCGCAGACAGAAGCAAACGCACACCGACAGGCACGCGCTCTCCCCCCACCTCCTGCAGACAGAAGCAAACGCGTGCCGAGCTTTGAAAAGACAACACGGGAGGGACCGAGCTCCGAGCATGCTAGGGACATGACTCAAACACCCCAAGAACACGCAGGCGCTGTTCAGTGCCTGAAACGCACGATCTTGGGGTAAAAAAGAAAAGTATTTTCTTCTTTACTATAGGCATGAGATGGAAAGAATTACATTTTGGAGGGCATGCTCTTTTCTTAATGTGATAAGCTCACACGCAGGGATACTCGGAACTACATAGGATCAATATTCAGATTATTGAGGAACGGCATTTTCGGTTGTTGCAATAAGTTTAGAATTTCTTACATTTATAGAGTGCTATTCATCTGCAAGGATTTCAACTAGTTTTCCATAGAAGAGGGGACACCCCTCACCCCCCACTGCACACAGCTCAGAGGGGAGAGAGAAACTGCTATACCAGGTGGGTTAAGAGGAAAGGTAGAGAGACAGGTTTCTCATCTGAGTTTCGGGACACCAGGGTCAGCACCCCCACTCTCACTGACAGCACCCCCACTCTCACTGGCAGCACCCCAGGATCATTAGTGACAGCCAAGCAGCTGACCGTTACAATGAGGTGATGTGACGCCCTGGGCTGTATGACACCCGCCCGGCGGTGAGCTGCTCTGCTCGACTCGCCGGAACCCGGGATCGATCTGAAGTGGATCTGCGTTCGAGCAGCGCGGGCGGGCCGCACAGAGCTCTTCGAAAGTGTACCAACGGGACGGGTGACCCAGGAGCCCTGCTCCCAGCGGGCAGAGAGCCACCTACAGCCAAGCAGCTGACCGTTTACAATGAGGTGATGTGACGCCCTGGGCTGTATGACACCCGCCCGGCGGTGAGCTGCTCTGCTCGACTCGCTGGAAGCCGGGATCAATCTTAAGTGGATCTGCAGATCCCGGGATCTGCAGGGATCGCGTTCGAGCAGAGCTCTTCAAAGTGTACCAACGGGACGGGTGACCCAGGAGCCCTGCTCCCAGCGGGCAGAGCGCCTCGCTGGCCTCAGCTGCTGCTGAGCCCGAGACTAAAGTCACGTCCTCTCACGTGCTTCGTGCCTCTGGCCTGGGCGGGATAATTAACCCCCCCGGCCCCCCCCGGCCCCGCTCACCTCCAGAGCTTGCCCAGCGTCTTGCTGAGCTCGGCGTTGTGCAGGTGTGGGTACTGGTCGGCCAGCTTGCGGCGCGC